GGAGGGAGGGGGAGGAATTCAAACTTCATCCTCCTGGTGCAACTTTGTGTATGTGTGTGTGTTTATTTGTTTGTTTGTTTGAGAGAGAGTTTGTTTGAAGAGAGGGAAGGGGGTAGGAGAAGCAGGGAGGGCAGCTTGCCTTACCCGGCTGGAGGGGAGTCGCCTCCAGCTTCAGTCCAGCCTGCGGCACTTGCAGCCTCCTCCCAGGCTCGGTGCTGCAAGGCTGGCCAGGTTGCCCAGGCGGCAACAGAGGTTCCCTTTGTTCTTTCAGATGGGGGAACGGGGGGGAGAGGCTTCCTCTGCTCCATCCGCACCCCTCACCGAACAAGCGCGCCCCGGATGCTGCGCAGCTCTGGCAGGCGCTTTAGTCAGTGAAGCACTTTCTTTCACCAGCCCGAGCTTAAAGCACTTTCCTTTGCCCACCTGTGCCGGCAAAAGAGACTTTCTTTCACCTGCCTGTGTCCGCAGCAGCTTGCCAGCAAAGGCAGGCAAAAGTCACTTTCTTTCACCTGCCTGTGCCTGCGGCAGCCCGCCAGCACAGGCAAGCAAAAGAGACTTTCTTTCGCCCTTCTGTGCTTGCGGCAGAGCTCAGACGGGCTGCCGCAAGCACAGGCAGGTGAAAGAAAGTGCTTTAGTTGGTGAGGTGTCGGGGGAGAGGACTGCCTCACCAGCCATAAACCTCACCGCACGTCACTGCAATTCACTGTAAGGATCCACAGAAGCAGTATCAAATTATCTACAATGGGTGAAATACAAATTCTCTGCAAAATACAGCTTTACCAAGGATTTTTTTAAATAATGGTAACAGTTTCCCCTCTGCAGTCATGTCCAATTGTAGGGGGTGGTGTTCATCATTTCTTAGAGAAGGGAGCCAGGATAGTCTGAAGATGCTTCCATGGTCATATGGATGCTATGACTGTATGCTGAAACACACATAATGCAGTTACCTTCCCACTGAAGGGGTACTGATATATCTACTCATATTTGCAAGCTTTTGAAGTGCTGGATGTACAGGAGCTGGGGCAAATATTAGGAGCTACCCCCTGAAACAGTGCTGCTAGACTATTAGGTGAGCGCATGAATGACTATCCTTGGCATTAAAATGTATAAATAAATTATTTTCTTTTTCTAATGATGAAATACATTAGCTATAGAATAGCACAATATAAAGGAAAGAATGGATAAATGAAAGTCTACAATATGATGGGAGCATTTTTTTTCAGTAGATATTAGCTCCACAAAATAGGGAGCAATTTCATGAAAAAAGAGCTGTACATAAAACAACTCCTGTCCCAGAGAACAGAAGCAACGTTCCACCGTTCCTTCCACTAAAAAGGGTCTGCTAAAAAGAGTCATTTAAAGAATGATTAAAGGCAGGCAAGGTGGGACCCATAGGAATATCCAGGGGATGATGTTCCAAAGTTGGGAGCAGCACAACAGCATCCTTGTGGCAAGCCTAGTCCAAACCCAAGGAACTGCAGTGCATCCAAAGCTATATTATATCTTGCCTCAATAGTCTCAGGCTGAGGAAAAGCATCAAAACTAGCCTGCACCAGGGCAGCAAATTCCCTATTTCCACTCAATATACTTAGCATTTTTACTTTGAATGGCTTGACTTCTGTAGAGTAAAAATCCCAATTCATATTTTTATTAATGCAATTAAAAAATTAAATTACTGCTTAGTTGAAAGCCATTTAAAGTTTAGACCTGCCAAGCAAGCAGGGTTCAAAAGGAAACTTGAAAACTTTATAAAGAAATGGATGGATATCCCTTTCAAATTAGTTCCAAGATACCTAAGCTCAAAACTTATATGTTAATAATGTGATAAACCAAAGCTCAGGAATATAGATTAGTAATGTTACATCCTGAGGAGAAATTCACTCAGTATTAAATACATAGCAGTTACATCAAGCAGAACAGCAAAGTAATTATTTTCAGGGTGAATCTGGCCTATGCAAGCAACTAACAAAAGCAATATTTTAAAAATGCTAGTGTTTCTTCTGCTTATGAAACAATGAATTGTCTTGAAGCAGATAAATGTTACATGTCAACATTTGTTGCTCTTTGGGTTTTGTCAATTTCACAATTGAGGCTTATTGGCAATGACAGACAAAATAAAAAGGTTTAAATTGCTTAGAACCACTTGCACCTCATACAAAGCCAGTGAAGGAACTTGCCGAATCCCCAGAAAAAAAAGCACAGCTCTGGACGATAGATGGCAGCAAAACACTAGGTGGTTCAGATCCTGGAAAACTGAGTCAATAAGAGAGAATATCAAACTGTAACATCTGGGCAGGCAAAGATGAATGTATTTGTTGGAGGATGGAAGAAACCAGCAGCTAAGCATGTTACGATATCCTAATTCAATTGGATATTATTTAAGGTATCCCAAAGTGGGTGGAAATCCATATAGTTTCTGCCAAACAAATTGAGCAACCTTCTATTGGAGAGCTTGGAGTCCAATTTTTACAAGCTAAATAAATTTTCACCAACCAATCAGCATGGCCTATGGCAGTGTTGGCAAACCTTTTTGGCACCAAGTGCCAAAAGTTGAGTGCGTGCATGTGGGAGCGCTGGAAACCAGAAGACCAGCCGCTTGGGGTACATGCGTGCACCAGGAAGATGATCTTTCAGTTTCCGGCATGCATGCCACCTGGTCTGGTTTCTGGCACGCATGCGTGTGCAAAGCCCAGCTGGCCAGTGCGCATGCATGTGCCGGAAACAGAAAGCAACCACCGGGTGCGTATGTGCATGCCAGGAACATGATTTTCTAGTTTCCGGTGTGCACATGCATGCTGCTCAGTTGGTTTTCATGCGTGCATGCTCACCAGAAACTGGAGGAGCAGATGGCTGGTGCACATGCTGGAAACTGAAATGCATGCCCACTGGGCGGTTGCTCTTCCGGTTTCCGGTGCTCCTGCACACGTGAAGACCAGCTGGCCGGTGCGCAAACCACAGAAGAGAAATGGCCGATGGCTCACATGCCCAGAGAGATTAGGTTTGCCATCATGGGCTTATAGTGAACATTCTGGAAATTGTACCTCAGCAATTTCAGCTGGTTGCAGCTCGGACATATCTATCTTAGAGCTTATTTGATTCCTGACATTCTCTGTTCACTTTTAAAAGTAATGAAGTAGAAGAGCTAAGCATCCTTGAAGAGTTTGTGCAGAACAGTTACTGATCTACACCTTTGCTTGTTCTTGCATGCATTTAGGAGGCATCATTTGGTGTTTATCGTAGAAGCTCCCCCAGATTTTTAGAATTGTATTTCCCAAGATTCCCATAATCTTCCAGCAATTCTCAGAGCATCATTGATCTGAAAATTCCATCTAGAATGACTACAAAATATAATTTTGTTTAAATGTTTTAAAAATATCATAAAAGAGCTGCATAAATCAGTTAAAATTAAATGGAACAGTATAAATGTTACTAGGTTTTTAAAGGCCACAATTCTGTTTGCATGTGTTAATTGTGTTGGAAAAAATACAAGATCCTAACAGGTAACATACTGCACTTTGTCTACTTACGGCAACAGCATACAGTATATTGTCTTATAAACAACTCTGAGTTATTTTTAAGAACTTTTATCAAATTAAAATAGTTTTTAATTACGGTAACTCTATTGATTCCAATTCGAATTAATATCAGTATTGTGACTGGTTGTTTGAAGTGTAGTTTGGTCTAGTGCAGTGTTTCTCAACCTTGGCAACTTGAAGATGTCTGGACTTCAACTCCCAGAATTCCCCAGCTAGCATTCGCTGGCTGGGGAATTCTGGGACTTGAAGTCCTGACATCTTCAAGTTGCCAAGGTTGAGAAACACTGGTCTAGTGGTTAAAACTACAAACCAGGCAATGAATTCTATTCCTCCCTTAAGGCATGGAAGCAGCTGTTGTCTTTGAGCCAGTCACTCTTAGTCCATGAACGCACAAAATTCCAAACAACAAAATGAACACAAGTGAACAATGAAGACAAATCAATGAAATTTTCATAAAGGTGGATTTATTATAACAATGTTTAATACAATTAAAAGTTTCTTCACACCATCACTGAATTCTGTCTGCACTTCCCCAGAGGAGATAGATTTCTCAGTTTCAATATTAAATCCATAAATACTTAATTGAAGAAATAGCAATAGCACTTAGTCTTATATACCGCTTTACAGTGCTTTACAGCTCTCTAAGCGATTTACAGTGTCAGGATATTGCCCCCAACAATCTGGGTCCTAATTTTACTCACCTAGGAAGGACAGAAGGCTGAGTCAACCTTCAGCTGGTAAGAATCTCACTACCAAACTGCTGGCAGCCCATA